GAGGATTGAGCTGTACACGTTTGGTGAGCCGCGTGTGGGCAACGCCGCGTTCGCCAACTGGTTTCTCGCACTGTTCTGCGGCGGCGGCCACGAGACGTTCCGCGTCACCCACAAGCGGGATGTCGTGCCCCACCTTCCCCCCGCTTACTCGGGGTTCGAGCATGGCCCCCACGAGGTGTGGTACGACAATGACGGCTCCACGAGCTACGCGAACTGCAGTGACGTGTCCGGGACGGCGTGCCCCGCGGAGACCACGGCCGAGGACGCTGAGTGCAGTAACAGTCTCCTCCCCATTTCCATTGCGGACCACCTGAAGTACCTGGGCGGGTGTACGTCGTGTACATGCGTCGCTGGCGAAACCATGAGCGACGACCTACTGCGCATCTCGCCGGAGCTTGAATGGGCCATTGCCGTGGACTACGTCTACCAGCAAGAGAGACTCATGAAGCGTCTTTCGTCACTTTCCCCCTCTTTTTCTTGAGTGGACCTTGAGGTCCACAGTGACTAGTATGTAATTCAAAGCCTTTAGATTCACAACCAGTCTGTGATGTGGCTTTGTTAGTTCCTTTTTTTTATGTCTTTGCTTTTGTTCATTGCAGCAGTTGAGTTACCACTGTTGCCTGCTTTGTTGAGCGTCGCCTGTTCGTGAGTGATTGCGCTGAAGGGGTATTTGCCGCCTCCAGCTGTGTGAGACCCAGTGTGCGTTGTGGCGGCCTGAGGACGATCGTACTCTTCAGAGTCAACCATTCCCTGCTGTTGCTGCGGCGTCCCACGCCCTCCCTGCCCACTACCCCTTCGCCCCGCCCTCTTCTCGCCCCTCAGGCCGCCCTCTTGTTTGCCAAGGCACTCCGCAGGCGGCAGCGGCGGCGGCGATGGGGCCCCGCGCCGTGGCTCTCGTGGCCGGCCTCCTCCTCCTCCTCCTCTCCGCGGGGCGAGGCGTTGGCGCCGCCTACACGAAGTAGACGGCGGAGACGGCGCTGAACTTTGCACGGGCGTCGTACTGCGACGCCGCAGCCATCGGCGGCTGGAGCTGCGCCCCCTGCGCCGCGAACCCGGGGCTCGCAAAGGTGCGTGTATTTTCGAATGCCTCGCAGGGCACACAGGCGTTCATGGGCGTCAGCGCGAACCGCATCATCATGAGTGTGCCTACTGCCCAAATCTCTGCGTCCTGTTACTGGTGAAACTGTGTTGGACTGACCTGGGTCTCCGTTGCGTCTATTGTAATGACCCTCTGCGCTGTGCGCGGGATCTATTAACGTTACTGACGTGTCTAAGTTGTATTGCTTTGAATGCATCTCCCTGGTTGAGGAAGTAGCCCCTGTGCATTCTCCATTCGCTGCGCAGTCCCGCGGCAATTATGCCAACACACTCCCCTCATCCGTTGTCGTGTTGGCGTAGTCCAGTGACGGCAACTGTCCTGTGTTTATTGTTTTTTTTTGACGAGTAGGGGCAGAGCCTTGATGGCGTTGCTCTCGCTCTCCCTTTTGTGATGCTCCCGCGCGTGGGCTGCCTCTGGCTTCTTGCGTGTGTGTTTGTGTATGTGTGTGTGTGGATTGCTACTCTTGCTCCCTGCCGTTGTGTGCGCTGCCTCGCCGGCTGGCCGCAGCGGGTTTCTTGCGTTGCGGAGGCCGCGGGTCTCTCGCGTGAGGGGCCGGGCGTCGCTAGCGAAGCGGAGCAAAGCCAGCGCCGCGCGCGAATGGCGGCCGGGCCGCCCGAGCGGCCGCGGGCCCCGGAGGAGGGGGGCGGCCCATGCGTCTGCGGGGCGGTCAAGTACGTGTTCAGCCCCCGGCGGGCGGGGTGGGTGGCGACAAGCACGAACGTGCGGGTCCTGGCGCCGCACCGGGAAGCCGCCAGGGGCGGCATGCGCGCCTGCTACGACGTGGAGGAGGTGGAGGAGGACGGCGGCAGGATCCCGTGCGTTGCGAAGCTGTTCTTGCGGGACGTCTCCGACGTGGTGGAAAAGGACTACTTCGGCGAGGGCGAGGCGCAGTGCATGTGCGAGGCGTTCGCCGAGAG